TGTTTTTATATATTAAATTTAACAAGTACACGTATACACTTATATCACAAAGACATACATAGTGATTGACGTTAGTATTGAAAGTGGGTAGTAGTTTACTGGATGGTATGACTGCATTTCCACCTTGGGTTCCGTCTTCAGGTTATTGTCTCTCCTTTACTCAAATAGCCGATCATTATTATACCGTCCGCATGCCAGAAGACAGAAATCATTAGTTTTCCAGCGGTCGCAGACAACTTGAATATCTTGGCTAGTGGGGAAGACGGTCTTTTCCACACCTTGCTTTGGTTTTTCGTCTCCACGTCAAAATGGTGTTCCCACATTTCATCTACAGTTACAAAACAAGCGCAAAAAATCTGGATGTTCTTCAATTATTGCTAAATTTAGCTTTGAAATGTCAACTCTTCCTTTCTTTTGGGCGTCTGTGAACATTCGAGGAACCCAGCGCGCGGCCACCTTTTTAAATTTTAAGATGTGAGTTAAAATAATTTAATTTTCTCAAACAAAAGCTTTAGAATCTCAACTAAATAATGAATAGTCACACCTTGATCTACTTTAACAATTCCTTTGATTTGTTAACGTTGTCTTGCATAGCGGCCATTGTTGGCCGCCCGGAGAGAGTGTCTTCATAGCAGGCGGCTTCGCAGTTTTACTATTAATTTAATTTTTAATTTTTAACAAAACTATAAATTTTCAGAAAATTATCCATTAAAATCATTTTAATGGATAATTTTATTTTTGGTTACCTTTAAGTACAAATTTTAATATAATTTCGTGTAGTAACTACGATGTAAAATGAAAAATGGTTTTAAAATCGCCACTGTTTCGGTTTTTTTTTTTGATCGAGTAAAGTACAATGTATCGTCTGTCAACCTTTAATATCACTCTATAAAGGATATCTGGGCTTAAATATAGTAATTTGACTATTTAAAGTTAATTTTACTTGAGCGCATATTGGGATAACCCGCCGTTAAAAAAATTGCATTTTGCACTCGCTCTCCATATAAACCTTAACTATGCTTAATCTCTCTTTCTCTCTTCGCCATGCGCGTTAATGATTTCCTTTCACGCATTGACTTATATATTACTAGCGTTCACTTAAAAATCTAAGCATCTACACATACATATAAATCAAATTTAGATGTCTCTCTGTAATATTGTAAAATAACTTAATTTTTGTTATAATCATATTATTTTTGTAAGTTAGTTATAGGTTTTCGAAGCAATTAAAAATAAAATAAGATAAAATGTAACTTATAATTAAGCTTTTTGTGGAACGAAAAAATTCATAAAATAATTGGTCATTGATAATTATTGTAAAAAATCTAAATAACGCCAAAAAATGATCGGCGAAGACAGGGTGGGACGCTAGTTTTTTGATAACTTTGTTATATGAAAACATTTCTTAAGCATCGCTGTATTTGCAGAAATTGCAGCAATCGTAATAATATTTTGTATAACGGTAGATAAAGATTCCTGGCAGATGCCCAGATTTCGCCGCCTTGACCCAAATCGGGCAAGGGGAAACTATGGTTTTTACATTCAAGATAGATCATATTTATGGATCGTATTTAAATATGTTCATTTAAAAATTTCATAACGGAATCCACACTTACATTATAACCGTAAAATGTTGTGTAAAAAAACTTTAGTCAATCAATACCGCTTAAGCGGCATAATGTAACAAATTAATTTACTGTACATCTGATGGTAAGTGGCTACTGAAGCCCCCTGCAATCAATTTTTAACATAGAGCAGTGTCACCTCTGAAGACATATGAAAAAAAACAGCCAGTTATTATACTGGCTCTCTACACCCTTCATACAGATACACTGCAGTGCAGACACTACTGATTGGTTACAGAAATAGGTAAGAGAATGTTTTTTTTTATAGGATAAGGTGACAAACGAGCATACAGACCACCTGATGGTAAGTGGAAGCTGTGGCCCATAGTCATCCACATATATCTTCAATAAAGGATCAAAATGCAGATGCGTTGTCAACCCTGAGTGTCATATTATAATAAGTATGTAGGTAGATAATGAATAAATGGTTCAGTTCACAACATAGCCGTTGTCTTATTTGCATGCGTCCACTTTATCAATATATGGCGCAGTCTGTGGAATCAGTCCTGTACACAAATCGCAGGTAAGCGACGTATTGAAACCCCACTGGCAATATAGAAGTGAACTAAACACAGCATATGGGATTGGTGGGCGAGGCAATAGTGTTGTTATTCCAAAGTGTATGAGAACATCCATGTTAAAAAAGATTCACATCACAAATAGCCGACTATCTTTTAAATTGTCAAGCTTGTTTATCTTTCAGAAAAAAATACAAAATAACCACTCTTACACCATAAGGTACCGATAAGGGCATGGTGCAAAGCAGGTGTTGACTTATTTCATTTTGGCACTGAATCGTATCTATTAATCGATTATTATAGTAAATTTGTGGAAGTCGTAAAAATAAAATCTCTCTTAGACAATTATTATAAAATTAAAGAAAATATTTAGCCGTAAATAAATAAAAAAAGTAAGAAAATAAATACCCGAGATAGTATTGTCCGACAATGGCCCATACGTCTAGGAATACCCGAGATAGTAATGTCCGACAATGGCTCAGCCGGCAAGGAATACACGAGATAGTAATGTCCGACAATGGCCGAGCCGTCAAGTAATACCCGAGATAGTAATGTCCGACAATGGCCCCGAATTACCTTCAGGCTTGTTTAAGTCATTCTCACAAGAGTTTTGTTCATATTACCTCGTCACCTGGATATCCCCAGTCAAATTGACAAGTAGAACGCGGTATTCAAACTGTGAAAAAATTATTAGGTAAACGATTTCATCGTACTGAATTCGACATGGCAATGCGGGAATATACATATGTACGCCAATTAGTTGCGACCTCACTTCACCAGCAGAGCTTCTTTATAATAGAAAATTACGCAGTGCAGATTGCCCCGTGGCCCTATATTGTTGAGGCCTAAGCTAAAAGTTCTATATTAATAAAAATGCAAGGAACTTAAAAGCTCTGCATATCGGTTAAAAGGTCAACGGATGTAGAAAGAATGGGTGAAACGAACAGTATGTCAAATATTAGGTCCTCGGTCATATTTAATAAAAATGCACAAAGGTAGAATGACACACGAAATGAGCGTAAACACAATCTGACGTATTATGACGACATACAACTCTCCGTACTGTCCGTGTCGTCTCAACCTCCCTTGCATCGCTCCTGTAACCGATACATAATTCTAGTAGTACTTACTACACTACGCGTTCTGGCAGGATAGTGAGACAGCCTGATCGATGGACCTACCTTGTTCCGGTACAGTCGCTGCAATAGGTATCCACCATAAATTAAGCTAAACTGCTTAAAGTGCAATGTTTTTTATTTTTTTATTGGAGTTTGCTCCTTAAGAATAGATTTTCATATATAAGCCTATGGTATGAAAATTTATGGGGAGTAAAATCAAACGTTACGTCATGCGTTACGTTATGTATTCGTGTTTCCATGACTATGTAATGTCGTACGCAAATTATCTTGCACAGGCCGCCAGCACAGAGTACTCGACTGTACTACATTATAAAAACAAATAACAACTGTCAACCAACTGTCAACTTGCGGAGTTTTGATATTAAATTTCATATATAATCGTTCGTAAGGAGTAAATTTCAATCGTGCGTCGGAGCTGACACACACACTTTTTTCTTTTTTCCAAAGAAGTTATCGTTTTACTATTATGATGTTCTAAATTATTTTCGTTAAATTACCCTACATAATAGTTTGAGTTATTATTGATTTAATAAGCTTGAATAATTTTGTTAGATAATTTATCAATTTTAGTACACAAGAATTTTTAATTTAATTTATTTATTTTAATCTCTGGAACCCGGTATCACTATTTACTCATAGTGTACCATGTGTTTATTTTTTTGTATTATCAATGATTTACTTAATAGGTAGCCGTGGTAGCTCAGTGGTTAGTGCTCGCTGTAAATTTTACAGTACGCGAGCAACCCGGGTTCGATCCCCGCCGGCACTAATGAAATTGTTAATTGCAATTTTAAGTGCTGATTTACCACGTGCTCGGCGGTGAAGGAAAACGTCGTGAGGAACCCGCCATGTCTGAGAAATAAGAAAAAAAATTTTCGAAGACATGTGAAGTTCGCCAACATGCATTGGGGCAGTGCGGCGGATATTTCCTTTTCTCCCTCTCAGAAATGAGGGAAGGCATGTGCCCAGCAATGGGACGTATGTAGGCTGAAACTTTAACTTAATAGGTAGCGTATTCTTACTATATGATTATGTAGAATTAATGCATTGAATCTGTTACATTACCATATTACATAGATTAAAAACGAATTTCAATTATTTACTTGCTCAATTTATGTTAATTTAATCATTTTTTTTTGTTTTGTAATGATATATATGTTTTTATCTAAAAAGGGGATTGTCATATTTTAATAAGTATGTAGGTAGAAAAAGACTAAATGGTTCAGTTCACAACTGAGCCGTTGTCTTATTTGCACGTGTCCACTTTATCATTATACTGAGGTCTAAGATGGAATGCCTCGTTTCCAGTCAAAGGGGTCTCCGGTTCTCTACACTCACCATACGAAATATAGCAGCATTAAGCTGCTATTTTACGCTAGCATTTTGTGGGCGTGGTCATTCCCCGGTCGAGCCGACCCATTCGTGCTATAACTATCACATACCTGCGAGCACGGCTCTACCACGATAAAAATTGGTACTTTCCCAATTGTTTGTTAGAAAAGGGACGCCTTTTCCGACTAGAATTCCAACTGGGAAACTACTACTAAAAACAAAAATGTTATTATTCCATATAGGTTTTATACGTTAGTACAACAAAACTGCCTTACTCGTAATTAGAGAAAATTTATTTGCAAGTTATTATAAGTCTAGCGTTAGTAAACGGTATGTTTGCTTTACTGATTTTTATTGTATGACCTGAAACGCAGAGTCGTAAATTTATGTATGCTGATGACATAACACTAGCTTCCCAACACGAAACTTTCAAACCATCCGAAGGTATCCTTAACGAGGACTTAAGTATACTAAACAAATACTTTAGGAAATGGAAACTAGTACCAAACACTGCCAAAACCGAAGTAACTGCGTTTCACTTGGCTAACCAATTGGCAAAATACGAGCCCACTGTTGAGTTTGCTGGAGCCATTTTGCACTACAACCCCACTCCGAGATACCTGGACGTGACTCTCGATCGGAGTCTCACGTGCGCTCCGCACATGGACAAATTATCCAAAAAGCTCCAGACCAGAAACAACATCTTGCACAGGCTGGCGGGCACTACTTGGGGGGCCAGTGCCGATGTGCTGCGTACAACCGGTCTACGTTTGGTGTACTCAACAGCAGAGTACTGTGCACCAGTATCATCAAATAGTACACATGTGCTGCACGTGGACACCTAGCTGAACCAGACCATGCATATCTGGAACCTTAAAATGTAAGCCCATCCCATTTGAGAAGACAACAAATACTACTACGAGAGGCCCAGAAGATCTACGGAAACCCCAACCTGCCAGCTCACGCGGAGTTTACTGATCTGCCACCCCACCGTCTGATGTCACGTCACCCACCATACCAAACCGCATGTGAACTCGTGTCCGGTGGATTTAACACATTTGCTGAGTGGTTGCAGGAACGCAAAACCCCCTGATATCATGGGAGTTACCATCAATCCTACACTTAAACCTGCTGGTTTTGCACTCCCAAGAAGGAAATGGTGCCAACTGAATAGGGTATGAACCGGATGCGGGTGAAGCAATGTCTTCATGTCCATGTGCGGGTGAAGGGAATCACCGGGGTGTGAGTGTGGAGCTGCTGTCCAGGATGTTTAGCATATAGCTAAAGACTGCCCACTCACAAGGTACCACGGCTGCCTAACAGACCTGTTCCCTCTCGAAAACGACGCTATCCCATGGATTCAGCAATTAAAAGATAGAATAACTTTATAATTATGATTTTAAATTTTAATTTATTGTGAACGATTGTAAGAACGCCATACGAATAAATAAAAATATTGTATGAGGCATCTAGATTAATTGATTGGATGAAATTAACATCACATAGTATATTATCTGGTAACCGACACGTTGCTGCCGCAGAAGAATTAATTGTGGAAATATCGTTTTGAATATGAAATTTAATGATATAATATATCTTTCCAATAAATTTGTCGGTGTGATATGCGCGCCACCTACTGTAAGTTTGTACTATGCCTATAACCTCGCAAATGCAAGCAATAAGTTGACAAAGTTTTACCGCAATCTGATGAACGGTATGGCAGCGCATAAAATACGAACAAAGAAATTACTTTTATGGATTTTATCGCGTTTAATTATATTTATTTTTAAATTCCCCACGTTTCGGGTGCTTTCCAGCACACATGATGAGGACTGAGGTGATTGACTTCCCGATGTCAGAGTTAACCCGAAGTACCTTCAGCTTTTTAATTATTAGTTTTGGTCCGATCTACGAACAATGAGCTTACTGTGTTTTGAAGTCTTGTAATGGTATGCTTGGGTTTAGTTAGGAATTTAAAAATAAGTATAATTAAACTCTATAAAATCCGTTAAAGGAGTTTTATTCAATGTGTAGTGTTCGCGAAAATATACGAAATCATTACAAACAAAGAAATATTAATTTTTATAAATAAGAAGATATAATGTACGAAGTACAATTAGAAAATAAGGTCATAGTTTATATGCACCTTCATCGACGGTTATTTATCGTATGTGATTTAGAGAGTCAGGCATTACCTTGCGCAAATTCATAATAGTCAAGACAAACCTAACCGGAATCTAACCAAATAGTGGCGGTGTAAGAATATATAACCCCATATCTTCTCGTAAGAAAGTAAAACAAACCACTTTATGGGCTGCACCGTCTTCCTAATAATAGTTGAAAAATAAAAATTGCGGTTTCCTACCCCCCTGGCATGGCAACTATTGAACCCCTGATGACGCAATCTATAGGGAGACCAGTGTTCAGATGCGGACTTTGATGGATTGTAATGGATGAAAGACAAACTGATTCGTGCGTCTTCGTTCACATGAAATTCGGGTAATTACAAAGCAATATGATCCTGTTTTCAAAATAGTACAAACAAAAAGAAGTACCTACCTATATAAAATATATATAAGATGGCAACCGTATTTACCACGTTTCTAGTCCTAAAGTATATTTCAAATCTCTAACGCATCGGGAAGTTATTTTAAAACGAATTGCAAAATTTGTACCGAATAGACAAGAAAGCGAGATATACTAAGGCAACGCCGATAAAGCAGTCAGTCTTAGCTTAGCTTAGCTTATTATTCTGCAAGCCAATTATAATAAATATAGATATTTCATATAAAAAATAATTTTATTATAACCTCCTATTGTCACTCGGGAATAGTGTAGCTTTCTGTCGGTAAAAGGTTTTCAGAATCAGTCAGCGGTTCTGGAGATTATCTGCTTCAAACACGCAATTTCACATATTTATATTGTTATTAGTACTAGTAAGCCAAGATCTAACAAACGAGTGCAAATATAAAACGATGTGCATTATTTTGATATATTTTTTTTTACTTTAAGGATTCCCCCCCGTTTGCACTACCATCAATTTGGCACTTAGGTTAGCGATAGCAAACTATTACTCTTGAAGATTCCTCATGTTGAGGGGTAATGCGGGTCCTATTATCCTAAGAAAATAAGGGTAGTATGGTGTTGGCTGTAGTTTTTTTAACTATACTCGACTGCTATCCCACCTGATGGTAAATGATGATGATCATAGTCGAGCGCAATTAAGAAAATCCTATTAATTTTCGTCGTGATGACCAAGATATCAGTTGATAATTGTGTGCTTAGTGGTGGCGGTGGTAGTGATACAGATATAGAATAGCAGTTCACTACTACAACTTTGTCGTAGTGAACTGCTATTCAAATTAGGTTATTAACACTATTTTATTTCTACAAGCTGATTTCTTTATAAATTACACCTTAACTTTTCGTATAATAATTCCTGTGTGGAAATTATAATTTGATACGCACATAATTGGTGAACTTAACTATCGAAGTCTAGCGCACCAAATAAGGTAATAAAAGGTCGACAAAAAAGTTTCTCAGTATTTTATAACGATTTTACACGATATATCGATAACTTTTTGCCATCTTGTAGGTATATAATCCCGATGCTGTAGAAGTCTTAGGACTTTTTGATGAAATAATTTCGACAAGTAATTTTGATAGTTCTCTCTTGATGTTAACCTAAAACTACCCAAAGATTTCTGAAGAGAGCGAAACCGGTGAAAATATAAGGGTACAAGATCAGGACTATATGGTGAATGCATTAACACTTCCCAACCAAGCTCTCTCAATTTTTGCTTAGTGGCCAAATATGTGTGTGGTCTAGCGTTATCATGATTAAAAACAACTGTTTTTCTGTTGATCATTTCTGGTCGTTATTTTTCAATTTCTTGTTAGTGTCTCATAAGTTGTGGGCAGTAGAGAATCGAATTGATGGTTTTGCCCATAGGTAAAAACTTATAATAAACAATGCTCTTCTAATCCCACCATACACACAGTATCACCTTATTGCGTGTTAATCCGGGTTTCGCTACAGTCTGTGGAGCTTGACTACCCTTTGACTATGATGTTTTTAGCACGTTCTTGTCGTAGTTTATCCACTTTTCATCACCAGTGATAAATCTTTTCAAAAATGGTTCGGTTTCATTACGTTTCAATATATAATCGCAAATGAGTACACGATTCATTAGGTTTCTTCAGTTAGCTCGTGTGGTACCGAAATATCGAGCTTTTTTTCAAATGGGTCAAAACTGTATTGTGGTCAATCCTCAATTCCTCGGCTATGTCGTAACTACTAATATACCGATCTCGCTCCACTTTTTCAAAAATGGCATCGCCTTAATCAGTATGAGGACGACCACAGCTAGCTGCATCTTTAACTTCTAAATTCCTGGACTAAGAATGTATGAACCAACTTTGTGCTACTCTTAGTGACACAGCATTAGATCCATAAACGTCATAAATTTTTTTCACGGCTTGAGTCGTATTTTTCCCTTTTTTGTAATAAAACTTCAGAATGTATCGAATTTCTTTGTTAGATCCACTAATTTTGGTGAACAGAAAAACAATTGAAAAATCGGGTAAGTTTTTTTTACTTTTTATTTTTCTTTTTCTTAATGTTCTATATGTATCGATATTAAAGTAAGCCGGATACAAGTAGTACAACCAAAGAGATTTTTCTTCAATTTTATACAAGCAAACACGAAGAAACTTTTCCCCCCGACTTATTATGAATCGTAAGGAAGTCATGCCAATTGGATCAGTACAAGAAATTGCAAAAGAATAAATAAAAAGTATTGACGGAAACTTAACTACATATAACGTTCTATTGTTGTTCTACATATAAATTATAGTTTAGAATGGATGAATTCGTAAGTTCACATTTCATAGGTCTTGTGAAATGTATTATAGTGCTTAATATATTTATTTTACATAATTTAACCTCAAATTTTAAGAGCAAAACAATTGAAATACTTTGTATGTGCTTTCATCGTTTATATTTCTTAATTACCTACTGTGTTTACTAAACTCTGTCAAATTTAGCTTGATAGTTTTGACAGCTCACTGTAGGGATGGGGTGGTGTATAATCGTTAATCTATTCGATTATTATTGTCATAGAACTTGCAATCGATAGTTGCATGTTTATGCTGTATAGATTTGGAATTTTGAACAATTTCTTATCTATTGAGTTAATAATAAATTATTAATACAATAATAATATCCCTCCAACAATAACGATTTCGCCTCGTGCGAGTCGAAATAATTTTTGTGAAAGGGCTTAGTGTGAAATAAAAGAAGGAATTGTATCTTAAATTTATTTATTATTAAAATAATGGTGCATAACTAAGCACTACTGGAACTGTCCCTTACGTTGATTAGCAATTCTTGTTCACAAACTCTGTCAAAGTGGACATCTCGCTCCCAGTCTTCTAGTATATATTTTTCGTGTTTTCCACTACTTTTCTCCAGTCATCCGCAGTATCGTCATTACAGGCATTTTGCATTAAAGTTAGCATTTTCTTAGCAGTAAATGGTGGAGATGTGTTATGGTTGGCTGCATCACCTAAAAAAAAATAAAAAAATTAAGTATCTATATATTTAGTAAACGTAGATACTAGGTATAATGACAAAAAAAGAAACCATTGATATGAGTCCAAGTCCGTTCGATAGCATTGTAATGGCAATGATATGGTGGCAATCTAAGCACCGTATGGCCATATTGTTCAGCGATTTCATCCAAAATGTAGGTTGACTTTCTGGGTTTGTTTTCTTTCACTAATCGGAATAATTCGTGTTTCAACATATTTTCATTGGATTCAATGCCTGTGCTCTGCAGCCAAG